TAAGTGCAGGACAATTAATCTTCTTGTTCTTTAGGAATGCAGAAAAGGTCATCATTGTTAGTATTCAAGGAGAGAATTAAGAAGGAACACTTGTAAATGGGAGATTAATACAAAATTGTAGACCAGAAACCAGATCCCTAAGTGAATGAGAGGATAAGATTTTTTAACTTTACTAAAAAAGTAGTGATGGACTGGAGGGATGACTCAGCAGTTAAGAGCACTGGCTGCTCTTCCAGAGGATCTGGGTTCAATTCCCGGCACATACATGGCAGCTCACAACTGTCTGTAACTCCAGTTCCAGGAGATCTTACACCCTCGTACCATTGCACATAAAATAAAATTTAAAAAATTCAATGTAAAAAAAATCATAGTCATGATTTAGGGATGGTGTAAGAATAGCAGTAGTTGTCATCTGAATGATCTACTGGGCATGTGCGGCCTCTTTCTGAGACACCTACGAAGGTGGGTGTGGTAGATTTCAGAAGAATTTAGATGGCAGGCTGGTCTGTGGCCACAGCTAGTCAAGTGGTGGAAGGCAAGTTCTGTGTGTTGTGCCTCTTGCCATTCATGAAGGACTCGCTAGAGTGATGACCTTCAATTTTTCCAAGATTCCTTCCCTCCCCTGCCTCCTCTTCCCTCCCCTCCCTTTCTTGCCCCTTCCTGTCTTTTTGGAGTTTCTCTATCTTTCTATTTACTTATCTCCTCCCAGAGTTAATTTCAAGATTTTGCAGCCAATGTAATTCAAACACTGGAGGCCCATTTCTTAGAAAAGGTTGGTGTGAAATAATTCCAAGGCTCATGAAGATTCATCCTTACCACAAATCTATTTCAACAGACCTTGGAAGAGCTGATGAGACAGAAAATGCTGAGCTGGCTTTCTCTGCTTGTCAATGCCTGTTTTATCTGCCATCCTGGGGCGTCATCCCTTCAAGCAGGTGCAGCCTTCCTCAGGAGAAAGACCTGGTCCAAGAGGCTTCTCGAAAATGGCTTTGACTTTGCTTCTTTCATGGAAAGGACAGGGATGGGTGGTGTGGGAAGATAACTAATACACTGTTACTTATAGTGAGGTCCTACTGTCCTTCTCAGTGTGACAAGAGAGGGGTCATCTTAGCCTGAGCAGTTCAGATCTGGATGATTCTTTAAAGGGCGATTGAGTCATTCTTAGTTATTCAGCTGAGCCAAGAAGGAAGATTTGAGAAAATGTTTTTTCCCAAAAGATCTCTAGAAGAAGTAGACTTGCAACAGTTCTCTCAAAAATAAATTTTTATTTAGATAAATGTACAATTCATTTAGAGAAAAATAATTATCTAAAGGTCAGCAGGACTGGATGTGTTCCAATGTGTCTCTACAACAGTGACAATCCTAAGGCAATGGTCAGGTTGTATGCATGAGCCTCCCAAGGCATCACATGCTCTTAAATCCTATCGTTAGTATCAAGTGTGATGTTTAGAAGAGGCAAGACAGTTTTGTGAGAACCAGTCATTTTGTTCAAAAACATTCTTTTCTCCCCAAGTGTACGTGTAAATTGAGATCAGTTTTGAAGTCACAGCACCATCATTCCGTGAACTGCCTTGGAAACTGAGAATTACTGTGTGGTAGCATGCTTTCTCCTGCTATGCTCTGCTAGGGAATGACATCATGTCTCCAAGTTCCTGTACCAAATCTGTATCTTTTTGTTTAAAGCTATCCCTTGATGGCTACCAAGTCCAGCATCTTGAAGATGTGGCTTTAGCTAATTATACTGTGTTGTTCTGGTACCATATTCATGGTACCATGTCAACTCTATAGTTGCACATACCATCATGCTGGATAGGCAATCTAAAACAACTGAGAAACTGCAGACATGCTCTACAATTTGTAGGAAAGGAGATTCAGCAAACATCCAATGTGATATGCAGCTTAACAGGGACAGCACCCTCTCCCGAGACCATGGCAGTGTATTTAGTTTGGAATCTCACATGGTTTATAGCCTTAGCTTTCACATATGCAGAAGGAAGATGCTTGCCTAAGGGTTACTGTGAGGATCTAAGAAGAGGTGAGAACACTTATTTAGCATAACATTAAGCATATGGTAAGAACTGAAGGGTCACTAAAAACACTTAGCCATTTAAAGCCACTCTGCAGGTGCCAATCCGTGTTTTCATGTCCTAGTAGAAGCAGTTAAAGACCGAGGCAGACACATAGATACCAGCTATGATTCTGAGGTTTAAACCATATTGTCCTTTAAGCCTTTTCATCTGTATGAGGTCAAATCCTTCCTGAACTTCAGACTTTGGTGTGAGGGGGAAAAACGATTCACTGTGAATGGCTCTTGTTATTCAATGAGTGAAACTGCCTGAAATGGTCACTGGGAAAGCCCCTTACTGGTTCTCAGGCTGTGTCCCAACACATACTGACAGTGATAGTCAGTACGTTTACCTGTACACACCAAATGCCAGACACTGTGCTGAGCACTCGGACTCCACTGTTGTTTCCATCCCTTTGCTCCAGTGCATCCCTATCATCCCCATACTTCAGCGATGGTCCCTGACTTGCCCAAGCTAGCACACTGGGGACAGAAATGCATGCTATTGAGATGATTTGATGAACTCCAAACACACAAGTCCAGCCGCCCATCTGTGTTTGTCCCCAAGCACAGCCAAGAAAAAAGCCATTCTTGAGATATCCCAGAGTTCCTGCCGAGCCCATGCTCCCCACGCTCACCCTGTCTCATACTTGTGCCAGGGTCCACACAGGGACACTGAAATGCTCTCTGGGTTTGTGGTCCCACTTCATTCCTGTTTATTGGATGAACCAGGTTCAGAAACACTAAACAGATTGAAGTGACCCTGTAAAGAGATGGGAGATGTGATCACAAACCTCGATTTAGGACTCCCTACTAACTACTTTCAGCTTTTCATTGGTGAAGGTAGATGGGAATGAGATTCCCACAAAAATAGTGGGTATTAATCCTTTCTGTGAAGCACTTGTGAGCTAGAACCTCTGTGAACAAACAAACAACAACAAAACCCCAACAATGACTGTCTCATCTTCTAAGTCATCTCCTTTCTCCTTGACAACAAGACACCTTCCCAGACTTTTTTTTCCCATTTCTGTAATTTGCCCAGTTGAAGGGTCTAGGATATGGCTGAAATAGGGGCACAATTCTCAGTCTCTCCAAAGAGGGCCAAACACAGACTTAGAAACAAAGGGCTCAAAGTTCTGGATTAGGAGTAGTTTTGTTTTGTTCTTGATTCTAAGTAAGCAAAGTGTCTGTGATTTTTTTGTTTTGCCACAAGAGAAAGAAGACGCATGGCATTCATTGTTCATTTGGGTCTACGGGAATATACTGCTGCAGTAGGAAAGACTTTACTAGGTAAGAATGCTAGGAAATCAATTCTGTTTAACTACATGATACACAGAAAGCCCACCAGTATCTTAGCTGGATTTCTTCACCAAGGTCTACAAATCTATTGATTTGTCTACCCTTTGAAGATATTCCTCAAGTTCCTTGAGGTCCCACTTACTGTTGCCTCCTGTGACAGGCTGGTCTAATTATAAATATCACTTCTAAGAATTTAATGTTTCATATTTCACCTCTTAATGAATTATCCACTCCATTAAACTCTAGAGATACAGCCAATTACATCAACCCATCTCACATATAGTTCTTAAGATCTTGTTCGGGTGATAAATGTCAGGGTTCTTATCCCTTGCGAATTATCCAGTACTGGTGTCAACAGACAACTAACAACTCTAGCAAAACTCAGCAATGCTATATCAATATTTAAGCACTCATTTACAAAAATGACTTTGTATCTTTTAAAATACGGTAAGCTCTATCTAGTTGTTGGGTTTTTGCAGAGGAGACAAGATTTATAAAACGACCTTCTCTGTTTTAGATGCTAGCTTAGCCATTTCATCCCCCAAGGAATCAGTGCCCATCTCACAGTGGAGTTACCAGAGCATCTTGTCTGTGCCTTAAGCCTTGCATTTTTCTTCACTTGTAGGCATCTTGACACTTCAGAGTACGGGTGTGATGGCCAATGTGATGGAAAACTCACAAAACTCCTCCCCTGGCACAGTATCACTTTCCATATCCAACTCCTTATCTGTTCTCCACACAGAGTCCCACAAGTTCCCCATAGGCAAAACATGTCTCCATGCCCAATGCTATAGACTGACAATGTGTCAAATACATTACAATTATAGTCCTCATGAAGCCACATTAGAATACTTTTTGTCAAACTATAGGTTATATCAGAACTACATGAAAAGTTTGTGAAAACTCAGTTTCCTGGTCCCCATTACTGGGGTTTCTGATTAAGTAGGTTTGGGGTGAGGCCCAAGAATCTTGGTTTCTGTTAAGTTCCTAGTAGCTGATGCTGCTGTTCCTGGAGCATTCTGAGAACTGAAATTTAGACTGTTCAACAACGATGCTGCCTAGCATCCTTCCTACCCATCTTCATGGTAAGACAAGTCAGGCTCTTCTTGCAAGAATAAACCCTTCACCATGCCGTAGAAGGCACTTGTCTTTGACCTACAATAATGACAGAACATGGACAACAAAGCATGAGAACTTGAAGGAATCTTAGCAAGTGTTTCTAGATCACTGTGGAAAAAAATAGGAAAAAGGAACCTTCTGTGAGCAAAAGGAATTCTGGGAAGACAGTGTCTTTTATAAAATAAGAAATATGTGGGCTGGGTGTTGTACTGCAGACATGTAATCCTAGAAGTTGGGAAGTTGAGGCAGGAACATTGCAAGCTTGAGGCCAAGAAGGAAGGAAGGAATAAAGGAAGGAAGGAAGGAAGGAAGAAAGGAAGGAAGGAAGGAAGGGAAGATGATAAATTTGGGGGAACAAATATTAAATGGTACACATTTCTTTAGTTAGTACTTGGTTGAAAAAGATACTACCCAATTATGGGCTAGGTATACAACAGCAAGAGCTATATCTCAGATGTCTAGAACATTTGGTGATACACAGGCTGTTCCCAGTCCATCTTAGAGGAATAATCAAAACCATGGTTAAGCTGTGTGTTTTAATTTTTTTAGCACTTGAAAAAAATGTACAGTAGTTTGAAGTCAGTCTTTGCAAACCTCCACAGAGGTCAAAGATTTCATTTATACGTACAAAATTAGTTTACAAATTTTTTTTGGCAATTTCATCTTAGTAACCCGTTTTATCCTATTGCCATTGTCCCAACCATTGAAAAAGTTTACAATAATTTACATAGAAATATCTTCAAAGTGCTTAAGAATAGTGATTGTTCTCTGGGATATGTACAGGTGGCCTATACAATGTATGTACAGGTGAGAGTCACTATAGCACAAGGTTCATTCCTGGAATATGGCTTTCTAGGGAAAGTGCATATTTGGCCAGAGATGGCAATACTGTCTAGAGAGTCAAGGGTTACAGATACTTGGTAACCCACATCCAAAGCTGAAGTAGAATGTGGCCAAGAATATTTACAAAAGTAATATAAAAATGGTCAAGCACACAAACTTGATCCACGGAAAGATATCTTGATGTTCTTCCAGATGGGAGGAAGAAAGGAGACTTCAGCGTGGGCTCGGTTATCGTTCTGGAGTGGGTGTTACTGGTTCAGACCTCAGCAGTCAAGACTTGTTCAGAGGTCAAGCCAGATCATCATCTGTGCTGACAACTGATATCTGCAGAGAAGAAAAGGTTCCCATGAGCTTGGTGGTTACTCGCTGTTAGCAGCTAAGAGCGGACTTTGAGTTGGCCATTCACAGACCCAACAAATTGGAGGCTAGACACATGAATTGTATTTGTGTCCTCAGCCTGAAAATCTGAAACCCAAAAGGGGTCCTAAATCTGAAATTTTATGAGTAGCATTATGACACTCTAAGTAGAAAATTCCATGCTTTTCTTTATGTTACTGGTTGTGGTCAAAATGAACACACATTAAAATATTATGTAAAGTATCTTAGGCTATGTATATAAGAATACATGAAACAAATGGATTTTGGGTTCACACTTTTTATGTATGCAAAAACCCCCAAAATCCATGCTCCCCCCTCCCAAAATTCCCTAACCCTGAAAACTTCTGGCACCAAGTATTTCAAATAAGGAATACATAATCTGTACCTGCTTGCTAGGAGAAACAAACATACAAACAAACAGTGTGACTGGCTCTGTTTAAGAAGTGTAAATCTTGGAAACAAATGTCAAGACATATAACGTGAACTGAACACTATTTCATGTTTCCCTGCAGAACTTGCAATGGCAGTGTTAAGCACATTTCATTCACCATGGTCCTGAAGTAGAGGCCAAATATGCACTTGGGTTTTGAGGGGAAGAACAAGGGATTACAGTTGCTGCTCCTGCAGAAAGCTGGCTCTCCTGGGTGGGATGGAACACCTCTCTAATGAAAGCATTTAGTACTTTAGGCTAGTTGAATCTCACTCAAGCTATATTGACTTTCAGTTAACTCCCTTATACACAATCCTCATATGCCCACCCTGATTTACCTTTAGCTACCCAGTATGCAAGGAGCTGAAGTTTAAAAACAAGCTATTGGCTCATACTGCTATTCACATGTCATTTTTATAATCTGAAATAATGACAAACAGGACTTACCTGCCTTCCTCTGTGAGTGAGATACTTATCACTGACTGACATTTAGCTTCTAACATGTAGCCAGTGGATAAAGTATCTGGGAACTTCACGATCCTTCCCAGCCCAGGTACCCATAGCTAGAGGTTCTGGTCTCCTTTGCAGAGACTCATGTCAAGCCACAGTGAATACAGACAATGCAGACTTACTGCTGGGTATGTGTGTCCGACAGAAGCACTGTGTCTACCAATGTCTATTGAGAGGTCCTCTTCAGTGGTCTTTAAGTACACAGGATTGTCAAAGTTCATGCTTTTCATGTTTTTATGTTGCCAATTCCGCCACATCAAGTACCCACCTACTGCTGCCATCACCAAGAGCACTGAAACAGAAATCATAAGTGAAGTCTAATAGTCATGGATCTATGGTAATTTGCATTAATAAATGTTCCATGTTTTAGGGAGCTTGGATAGATGGAAGTTGGAATCCAAATGAGAGAAAATTTTGAAAATAAGTTCAGGTTGTATGAATATTTGCATTGGAGCTTTACACACCCAGGGGTGTGCAGAGTCCTGAGTCCTAACCCTAGGCCAACTTCATGAACATTACAGAAGCCTTGGAGTGCCAGTCAAGTGGTTCTGGTGTGTTAGGTAAACCAGTAAGTTAGGCCAAAGAGGCATTTAAATCAAAGTGCCATAGAATTCGCATGCCTGAAAGTGGCTTTAGAGGTCCTTTCACCTGAGTTTGGAAATCTTTAATTACTTTAAATTTACCCTTTATGACTGGACAGTGGTGGTGCATGCTAATTCCAGCACTCAGAGGCCGAGGTAGGTGGGTCTCTGTGGTTTTGAGGCCAGACTGTTCTACAGAGGTAGTGCCAGGCCTCCACAAAGAAACCCTGTCTTGAAAAACCAAAAACCAAAACAAACAACAATATGCCCCCCCAACCAATATACTTTATGAATTTTCCAACTCTTTCAAAATGTCATTTGACCATTTGTTTGCCTATTTTTTTTAAGATTTTATTTATTTATTATGTATACAACATTCTGTTTCCATGTATATCGGCACACCAGTAGAGGCCACCAGATCTCATTACAGTTGGTTGTGAGCCACCATGTGGTTGCTGGGAATTGAACTCAGGACTTCTGGAAGAGTAGCTGGTGCTCTTAACCTCTGAGCCATCTCTCCAGACCCATTTGTTTGCCTCTTTGTGAATCATCATATACAACAAATGGGACTAGAACAAAACTCTTGCTAAAGGGACAACCATGTGGTTGCTGGGAATTGAACTCAGGACTTCTGGAAGAGTAGCTGGCGCTCTTAACCTCTGAGCCATCTCTCCAGACCCATTTGTTTTTCTCTTTGTGAATCCTCATATACAACAAATGGGACTAGAACAAAACTCTTGCTAAAGGGACTTCCTCCATGTAGGGATAAGCAAGGCTAACAAGCTTGACGCAGAAAGCAGTAAGACCTGTAGGCAATTGGTGAATATTCACCAGTGTCCATTGTCATGTGAAAGTTACCAGTGATGAGTAAGTACCAGAGAGTTGAGGGAGTGAATGCAAGTCTCATGTGTTATGACAGCATAGGAGATCATGGGAAGGAGCTGTATATGAACTGGAACTGTCTATGAGGTATACATGAGAAGTAAATTCACTTACAGAGAGGAAGGATGGCCCAGGCAGCTGAAGTTCCTTTTGGGGGAACACTGATCTCTGATACTGCTGTGGTCACATTGATCCCTGCAAGGACATACAAGGAATCAGTCTATCAGAATTTGAATTAAGACCTAGAAATCTACCTATTAGGTAGAGATCCACACACCTTTGTACCTAATATTGATCTCTAGTAGACACTATAATTCCACACCAGAAGAACTTGGGATTAGAATTATTTGAGTTACATGGCCATTTCACCAACAGGTTTAAATGAGTCAGAAAAATCCAGGATATGCAGGTTCCAAAGTCTTTGGACTTTAGGCACAAGTAGCCAGTTGGGGCAGAGCCAGTAGTTAAAGGCTGCATTAATTATTTAAGCGGCAGTTAGTTGAGATTAAGTTTGCAGTACTGGACCCAATACCTCCAGGAACCAGTCCACTAGTACGTAGAATGTCTGTTGTGTTGATATCTTTTGTCTCAGTGTAAGTCACAGGAGTTGAAGTACCTGGATTATAAAAACCAAGAACCTGGTTAAGGCTAAGGTTCCTGAATGGCTGGCCACATAATCCAGAGAAGTCATGATGAAAGGTTATTTTAAGTCCAGGTAAAAGAGTCAACCCACTGCAGAACTAGGCCATAAAGTGGATGTATCTGAATGGAGAGAAATAGCCAGTTTCGAGCAAAAACTAGAAACATTTGGAAGTTCAGGCAGGGCAGGCAGCATGTGGAAGCTGACAACTCAAGAAGAGCCATAGCCACATTGATTCTCTGTACAAAACTCCAGGCTCCTGGGTGACCACAGATGTTCTTGAAAAATGCCTTGTGTGCCATGCACATCAAGTGCTTTTGCACCTATTTTCTCAGTAAACTGAGTAAGTGCCTATTATGGGGCAGAATGATGCTAAATAAGACATCACTATGTGAGCTCCTTGTTTACAATCAGCACGTTTAACTCACTGCTCAAAGGCTGATAACAAAATCCTACAATTCAAGTCCAGACTATCTGAGAGCTTAAACTTGTATCATCTACTGAGGTCAGCAAATATTCTACAACCACGGTCTCCTTCCTCAAATGTCTTCAGAGTATTCATTATGCCCTCTGTGGAGGACTTTAAGTACCTGCAAATTGGCTATATCAGGGTGTTACAGAGCAATGGGTACAAACTAGTGTGTGGCACATGGACACTTCAGTCACTGATAAACTCATTTGATGTTGAAATGGGCACATGTCAGCTCCAAAGTAGTGATATAAATGCCTGCCATAAAACAGTAACACTAATAACTATAATGTTCCGAAATTGATTTCAAAGGTAACTACAAGAGAATTTCTGAAACCAAGACAAGTTGTCGTAGCCACTGCCTTACAGGGCTTGTTATATGTCTTGCTTGTGGCTGAAATGTAGAAAGCCTTACTTTGGCACTCTCGTCCATTTTCCTCAAGGCTGTACCCGTTGGGACAGGAACAGGTATATTTCGGAGAGTGGTCATTAATCTGTGGTGCTGGTAGGCAGAGGTATTCACATCCCCCATTCTGCACATCTTCTTCACACCAGTTTTTACCTAGTCAGGAAAAAAAGGGGGGCTTTTTAGAATAGGCATTGCAATGTTAACTATCTATAGTCTCCATGGAGCTAAGTTTTGTCTACTCTGTCAATCTTCCAAGTGAGACTAACAGTCTTGAAGAATGTATATCACTAATGTTGGATGGGTATCAGTCAATGCATTGGAAGCACACACTAAAGATAACCAGATTTAGAGGTTTCTTGGAAGTAGATTAAGAGTTGTATCTTCCATAGGTTGGTGTGAAGGGAGGTGAGGGGCCTGGCTCACACTGCTTGTTCAAAGCTTAGAGTGAAGGCTCAGAAGGAGACAAGTCACATTTTCTTGACTTTATACTGACTAACTTCAGTGGAAGGGAACTCAGCCACACTACAGGGAAGGTGTGAGGGTCTCATTAGGTAGGTGAGCCGGTGTTCTGGGCAGACCATTCTGCACATCTTCTTCACACCAGTTTTTACCTAGTCAGGAAAAAAAAAAGGGCCTTTAGAATAGGCATTGCAATGTTATCTATAGTCTCCATGGAGCTAAGTTTTGTCTACACTGTCAATCTTCCAAGTGAGACTAACAGTCTTGAAGAATGTATATCACT